GCTTTCATCAAAAATACAATGAATGTTATTTGCATATTTTTATTATATTGTTTCTAATATTATTATATTGTTAATATACTATATTTCGAATTATATTATATTGTATAGTTAATATATTATATTTCGAATTATTAACTTATTATTATGTAATGATATTATTATGTTGTTTCAAAATGGCTTCGAATGTAAAATCCAAGGTATATGAATATAACTTTTACGAATAGCTCATTAATTGGTTGTTCTTCCATTCATTATTCTTCGGTAGTTCTTCCATTCAATGTTGCTGCCCGAACAAGTACTGTAAATGAGGACCGTATTTTAAATGACCGTCGTATACATTGAATTTCTTAAACCCTATATACTGTATACTCTGTCCGTCAGGGTAAAATATTTTTGATAATAGTTGCATTGTCAAAAGGATCATTGCATATGTTCAGTCTTAAAATGTCTAGCAAATTACGGACCAGGCAATAAGTCCAGCAGCTATCTCAATCAATCGTCAGCTATGGAAAGATCGGGTTCTAAAGGCCGGATCCCTTGTGAATCAAGTCACGAAAAGTTCAAGAATCGGCAACAGGCCATGGGCCTATTGCTTCAGTGCCGACACTTCTATTCTCTTTTATTCTATTGCATTTATTTGGTGATTTCAATCAATTCAACTAGGAGTTTCATGTACTGTTTGTCTGCACAGCTCTCCTAGTCTTGATGTCAAATTTTTGCGTGAAGAATTTTCTTCGTATAGAATTTTAAAAATTGAACATTGATTATTTATCCGGCTCAGGATAAAAATTTGTTGAGAAAAAGTTCTTTCTTTTGGCAACGAGCAAAATGCATTCGCATTAAACTTTTCTATGACGTTTCATAATCGCCCCGTTATAACTTGGGATAACATTATGTAGGCTGTTTTAATACCACCGGGCGTGACAGGGAATCGGGAAAAGAAATTTTTTTGGCCTGGTGTTTATCCCAAGCTCAGAAAATAATCATCGTTCTTTGTTGTTAGTCGAAATATGCGTTAGAGAGGAGATACCTTTATACTGTTTAATGCTCAAACTTCTTATTTTTTTCTTAAACGCATTTGCTTCGTCCAAACCATGCATACATTTTATCAGGAGAAATATCTGAGTAAAGAATAGTTAACAATATACATTCACAGTCTGTCACGCACAGTCTGTTCAATTTTCATTATCAGTTTGAAGCTGAAATAAATTGTTCTGTTGAGAGAAATATATTTGATTCTGGTGCCTGTATAATAAAGAATTTTTATTACCCACAGATAGCGCGAAGGCAGCATGGATTGATGGATTTATTCCAGCAAAACTGAAGGTGTAGGCAATGCCAGTAGATGTTTAATATATTGGCGATTGCCCTTTAACCGCTGGCTTGGGTTGCGGAACCATGACGGTACTACTCTTAATTACTAGTTACCTATCTTCGAAACAATAACTTGAATGGGAAAATACTAACTGCCTAATATTGACAGTTAGCATTTAGTAGAAAATGCACTCGCAAATGAATATATTTCTGTGGGATCTTGTAGTTCGGTCAGTAAAGTTTTGGGAGCTATTCGTAATTAAAAATCTAGAGCGAGTGTCACTTTGGTAGATACTTGCTTTCAATAGATAATTGATTTAAATTTTTGAAATACTTTCCAGAACCTGGATGCTTATCCTCATTAATAATCACAAACTATAATGTACTTTATACGTTTCATTACACAGTTTTTGAAACTCTGCACAGGGCATACTGTATCACAAGCAATGTAATCACTGTGAATATTCCTCATATCGATGAAAGGTAACTCGAATTAATAAATCTGAATTCGTTATCTAATGGTTTGTCTTGGTAATATGTGATGGTTTTAGGATAAGTAAATTATACTACAGTTAATATGCCTTCCACGGGCGTAAAAACTATCAGCGGGATTTTGATTTTTCTCGGTAGCAATATCATCAAAAATGAACAAATTCTTCTTCCTTGGATATATGTCACTAGGTTCAGGTACAGAAGCAGTATTCTCAAAATATTCGTTTGTAGATTTTTGTTTGCGTCCTTCAGGTAAGTTTTCAAGATATTCATCAACATTGTCATTGCCGTCAGAAAATGAATCAAAGATTTGAGATTTATTATATCCCTTATCGAAAACGTTCTTCAACAACTTATATTCAGGCTGATGAGTTGACTTGCTGTACTAGAAAATATTGTTGAAATCAATAAAGTTCTCCAATATAGCAATTTCAGTAGCAATGACGTTTTTCCGCAGTTCAATCTTCTAATTATGAGACACCTCAAACTTGGATAAGGGAACCAATGAAAAATGGTTCTTCTTTTTATTTTCGTCTTTCCACTTATAGAGCATTTCTTAAAGTTTTATTCTATAACCCTTCTCAATGTTTGTTCTAATATATACACTTGAAATATAAGCTGATATATGTCGGTGGTGAGATGGTGAATATCATAGCGAATATTATCAACATCAATCTGCAGTTGGTTAATATTTCTAGAATTGAACATCACCTCTTTTTAGACATCTGTTATTAAGTCTTCCATTTTTCATTACAGATTTTATCAAGCTTTTTTCTCCTCACGGGCTGCCTCGAATGACAATAGCGCGTAAATGAACAACCCTCTACTAAGTTCAAATTATTTCCATCATAAATCACTATGTATATTCAAACATTTTAATGGGCTCAACACACATGAACAGATGGAATTGTAAATGAATTTGGAATTGGAGTGAATTGTAAATTTTTTATCATTTATTTCATATGGTACATTAGCTCTAATTTTCACAAACCCAGATAATAAAGGGTATCGATCAGTTTCAGAAGAAGAGGCTAATGCCCGGCCGACTAGCCTCCAGCCTTTGGCCCTGCAGAGGCTGATGCCCGGCACCGGCATGACTCGGTGGCGCCTCCAGCCTTTGGCTCCATTTCAGTGACAAGCTCCACATTAAATTGAAAAGCTCCATATTAAATGGAAATGCTCCTCATGAATAGAAAACTTCATATTAATAGAAAAGCTACACAGTAATAGAAAAGATCCACAGAAATAGACAAGCTGTGCATTGAATGAAAAAACTTAACATCAATGGACAAGCTTTACATTAGTTGGGAAAGCTCAACACTAATGGAAAAGTTCCATATTGATGGAAAAGCTCCATGCTAATGGAAAAGCTCCGCATTAAATGAAAAAGCTTCACATTAGTTGGATAAGCTTAGCATTAAGGGAAAAGTTCCACATTAAATGAAAATTCTCCACAATAATGTGCAATTTCCAAATTAAATGGAGGAGCTCCACATTAATGGAAAAACATCACATTAAACGGTAAAGTTCGGCATCAGGTGGAAAAGCTCCAAAATAATGAAAAGTTACACATTAAATGAAAATCTTCACAATAAATGAAACAGCTCGAAATTAAGTGAATAATCTATACATTAAAAGTAAAAGCTCAAAGTCCGTTGGGAGGTTAGGTTTGCATATTCAACGTTTCGTGCAAATCTGTTTAGTAGTTTATAAGAAATTTCTTGGTCACTGCGAATTTCGGCCCGTATTGCTATATAACTCACGAATGATGGAGAAATGGAAAAAAACTTGGAACAAAAGTAAATCGAAAAAACTGTCGCGAGCTACATATCACGGTCGGTAGGTTAGGTCTATAAATTCAAAGTTTCGTTTAAATCTGTTCAGTAGTTAGAAGGAATTTCTTGGTCACTGCAAATTTCGGCCCGAAATGCCTAATAACTCACGAATGAAAGTGAAATGAAAAACATTCTTCACGAGCTAAACATCACCGTTAGGTACTAATTTGAATACGTGTACCACGTTTCATCGAGCTGCGTTCATTAGTTTGGGAGATCTTCTTTGGTCGTAGAATTTAGTGATTGGCCGTGAGACCGGCCGCGAGTCCGGTCGTTAATTTGTCCAACACCTAGTTGGCTCATGATGTCAAGTTAAGGAAGGTATTTCTTCTAATTAATAAAATCCCTAATATTTTCATTTGCATCAATTCATTTAACTTTCGAGTTCATTAAATTCATCTAGAGGAATGTTGAACTTCTAATGTACTTCTTGTCTCCTAAAAACGTTAAAAAAGTTGGTCCATTATCAACTTTTTGCCAACTCATTGATTATGACCTGAAGATCGTTCTTCATTTATATTAATTCTTGAGTTTGAACTCCACGAAAAAAATAGCGAATGTTTTCTTCATAATAAATTCTTTCTGGAGATTTCTCTCGTTGATCGCATCACGAATTTCGGTTTCACGACGCAAAACTAAATGAAAGTGTATTTTCAATATCAGAATTCCAAAGAAAATAGAAATAAACTATGTGACATCATTTCAGAGTCTTTCAGCTTCTCTTAATTTTCCAACTTTTTTCATCATGCCTCTTGTCCTTTTATGCAATAATGTCAATTTCTGTATAGACTGTTGTCAGGATTTAAAGCAAGTTTAACAACTTAATGTTATATATATTTGGCATAGTGGCAGTACATCAGAGTTCACGCATGTCAACAAACGATCTGTTCGCATTATGAACTGTACACTCCAGCGCACTCTAAACATTCTTCACAAAAATCAACATTTCATCGGATATCGTCATAAATCAACTGAAAATATTGTAAACGAAACATTTCGGCAAAATTTAGGAGTGAAGCCTTGAACCTAGGAATTTACAAGCATGTACAAAATCTGTTCATGTACAAAATCTGTTTAAAACCCTAATAAATGATAAAGCTTTAAACTCGTATAAGACCGAAGAATCTTGAACAATTTGAGGCGCAACGAATTAACAATTGGAATAAGGCACAACGTATGTAAGTTGGTTTCCAGCCACAATATCTCATTGACTTGGATGTAATCAAAAATGGCGCACTGGTCCCGTTGATTTCTTTCACCACTTTTCCATGCATCGCCGAGTCTGAAGGCAGACCTCCACTTGGCGAAGTGAGCTACTCGGTTTCCTGGGATTGGAAAGTCATCAGCTGTTATAGAGAGCTTATGTCGAAGGCAGACTACAACTTGGTGGCCGAAGTTCCTCTTATTTATCACGGCTGAGAACTCAGCTGAAGACAGCCGCTGCTACTAGTGGCCCGCGTCGGCGTTCGTCGGGGTTGCCGGTGCGGGCTGCTCGTTTGTTGATGATGTCGTCCGAGACCGTTACCAGGTCATACGTTAAGCCGAACTTGGCCAAAGTTTCGATGATCTTGGTTGTTAAGTTGAAACACCATCCGTCCATCTCACTGGCGCGGTAGTCTCTTGGGAACGCGTGGTGGTAATTGTGCCATCCTTCCCCAAGAGCCAACGGTCCAAAGACGATGTGATCGCGAGCGTGCATCGTCTTGTCATATGGCTTGTAGCCGTAGAGGTGGGCTACGGAATTGATGCAGTTAGTAACATGATGAGTTATAATTAGACGCAACATCCCACACGTAAGGAACGCGAATAATAAATCTTCATTCCAAAAGTAAAATGGAATGATAGTAGGCAAAACAAACGAGAGTGGTATCGCTATCCAGTAGAAGTACTCATGCTGGAAACGAACCACCGGATCGTCAAGAAGATCTTGGACTGGAACCATTTTGCGGCCTTTGATGAGCTCCTCGTGCGTTTCGTACATTCTCCAGCCCATGTGCGCGAAGAAGAACCCTCTTCTGGAGTTTGTCAAGTCCCTGTCGGTGTCGGGCCACTTGTGGTGCACGCGGTGGTTCACACTCCATGAGAAAATGCTGTGCTGGAACGCAACGCAGTGCAGGCACATGAGGACGAGCCGGACGGCAAACACGGCTTTGTAGGAGCGGTGGGCCCAGAGTCGGTGAACTCCCATCGTCACTCCCAGTCCCGACATGATGCCAAAGACGAAAAAATATAAATAACTTAATCCCTTAATCTGGCCAGTAATGAATAAATAGAATCCCCCCAGTGCCAGTAAATGCAAGATAGCATCACAAATGATCATGTTCCATATTACCTTGGACCAGTCAAGGTTCAAAACATCAATGCACATTTGTCGAACTGAAAATTTGTATATATAACCAACGTCTTCCTCATTGTGATGGTGATGTGTAAGGTCTTCCAAATGGTGATTATCATCATGGGCATTTACGTATACATTGTTATTGGTCGCTACAATTTTCTGAGAATCCTTGGACGTTTGGGAGTCGGTAGAGGCCACGGTAGATGATACAAAGGGGTTTGGTGTTCCCTTGGTTGGCAGGGGTGTTAACATGATGAAGTTATTTAGCTTACTGATAAACAGTGACTACATTATAATCAAGTCTGAAAAAATAGAAAGAATAAAGTTACTATGAAAATGGTGGATTCATACATTATTATGAATAAACCACGGCGTACCACTGAATATCATTATACTTTAAAGAGAATATGTTTTAAAGAGAATCACTGCATACGTTTCATTTAAAGCACACCATAGTATACTGCATTTAAACAACACATCCCTCCACATGATGTATAACAGCGTGCCGGAACACACGATGTATTACTATACATTGCACCGATGTATGAATTTTAGAAATAAAGAGCTTCAGTCAAATGCTGTATTTTGGGCAAAAGTTGCAAGAGAGAGCAGATCTACTCATCATGATCAGCAGATACACTTTACACGTGTATTTATGCACTTATATTTACATACAATAATTTGTTAAGCGTTACTGAATGCGACGTGTAAGATTATTTGAGCATCAGCTCTCCCGGTACCCTCACTCCGCACTAACAGAAGGTTCCGCACAGCCGGATGACCGGGGCGCAAGTGAGGAGGCACTCTCCTCTGCCTGGTATTTATACCCGGGGCAACTAGAAGGACTACGGGTCACAGATGGCCACAAATGCGCGTTAAAAGACGAGTTGGTGGAGAATTTTTATACTGTCAATACAATGGCTCCCAATATACTTTGCTTTGCGTAGTTTGTGCAGTCAAAAGACCATTATTTTGGATCTTTCTTGGGAGAAGATTAATATATTTTCAAAATGTTCTTTATTTTCGTATTTGGTCATGAAAAAATATCGAAGAGGACGTATGCCGTAGTTGCTAGCCTTCTCATTATAATTTAGTTTAATTTGCATTCAGGTAATGAACTAAAGCGTATATATAGCTAATTATGCTACAGAGTCAATTTCTGGTCGTTTTTGATATGGTAATCAATAATGATCCAAAACAATGCCACAAACAATTATAATTATTTCGTACTCTGCTTCATGGTCATTGAAATCATTAACTTTGCTAAGCAGTAAACAATCCATAATGAAATTCTTAAAATATTAAGCTCGTAACACATATTTATTTATACACTAACATATACACTGGTGCAGTATTGGTATTATAATGCTTCAATTTTTAATTTCTCAGACACTTATTCACTGACGCAATACTAAACACTTGATGTTAACGCTCCAGGTTTTCATTCCTTAGAAGAGCTTACCTGCGCAGTGCAGTTCGGATGGAAGCTCACCGACCGCAACAACAAACCAACAACAACAAGAAACAACAACAGCAACAAACCAACAACAACAACTGCGGCAGCAGCGCCCGACAGACTGCGTACAAATATTCAGAACGTATATTTTCCTGTCATCAAATATTCAGAACGTATATGTTCTTCAAACTATTCAAGAAAACGAGTGACATTATTACGTATATATTCCTTACTTTTTAGTGCCGAGTAGATGCATTTGGTTAAAATGCATACATTACGATTAATTTTGTTTTATAAAATTTTGGATTACCGATATCGGAAGTACAAAATTATGATACTGTGGGAGATGAATTTATAGAGAAAAGCTATCCCTAATTAAAATAATTAATATTTACCTATGACAATGGCTGTTTGTTCTTTTCTTAAAGTCAGCTTCTAACTGTTTATCTTCGTTCTGAATTCATGGCTAATATTCCATTTTCAATGATACTTTTGTTCGTAACTCTTCTAACTTTAAATAATTAGAAAATCTTATGAATTAATTATTTATGGGCAGTTTATTCATTGTAAAAAGAGATGAAATGGAAGAGCGAGAAAGAGGTTGAACATGTGTAAAATAAGATAAAACTTACACGGCAATTTCAGCTACACGCATTAAATATCTAAATACAATTTTAATCTTTAATTAATTGTGTGTATTCGTTAATAAATATAATATATGATTTTCTTCTAGCTCCATGCCATGTTATGAATGGATGAACGGAACACTTCGGCTGGCCGCTCTCCTCGGGACAGAGCGAAATAAAAACCGTCGCTGTCATTCATTAACAGCTTAGAGGTTTATTACATGTTTATTTATTCATTAGCAGCATGAAGATTTATTACATGTTTATTTATTCATTAGCAGCATGAAGATTTATTACATGTTTATTTATTCATTAGCAGCATGAAGATTTATTACATATTTATTTATTTACGTGGTGCAGCCATTAAAAGCTGTTGATAAATCGAGAAAGTAAATTTAGATCAGGATTAACAAAAACTGAGCACAAATATACTGAGCTTTATTTAGTGTATTTGTAGCCTGTAGGCTCCATAAATCAATTTTCAGGTTGATTGTGAAATAATCACTTCAATTTTTACGATATTGATGATATCATCTGGACCTGCAACAAACGATGTATCAAAGAACGATGCGCGTATCGGGTGATATACACAGCTAAATAAATTACGTTGAAAACGCAAATGCTTGCTCAAATTGTATAATTTTAATTGTAAATTACTTGTGTCACAAACGCTAACATAACTTTGGACAGAAAATTATATTGATTAATATAGTTCATCACATTCTGTTATGTTTATTCGTATCAGCTCGTGTCAAAATGCATTTAAAACTAAACTTTGTGCGAAGTAAATAATTAAAAGAAACAATAAGTAAATAAATAATACAAATTAACATGGTTTATGCAAGCGCTTTACTGTCAGGTTTCAAGCCGCAGATCACACAACTCATTCATTATGCATTTTAATATCGGGCACGTTTGACATCAAAACTCAGCCAAGCGATCTCAATTTATTTGCAATAATTCACACGCACGAACTACTTAATTTGTTTTCAATAATACGAAGCTCATCGGCAGCTGCATAAAAAAGTACGGTGGGCGACTGATTTGAATTTTGACGACTGAAATTTTTGAAACTAAAATTCGTCATACAGTAGCAGAAAATTCTTAGCGCTCCATGACGTGTTATCTCGTACTCTGAATATGAAATTATTATTTTGGCATCATATGTCCATTGGGTTGGCGTGCTGTGCCAGTTTTCTATAAAGAATGCCCTGTTCTAGACTGGCATACGTGACTTACGTCACGGCAGAGGCGCGGTGGTAGACTTAGAGTCGCCCGCTCGGCAGGTTTAGATGCAGTTTTCGGTGGCATCCAGTAAAAAAAATGAAACAAACTTGCTTAACCCTAAAGCTGACGGTGGGCAGGCTTATCTGTGAACTTTTTAGCATAGCAACCAACTCCGCGTCGTGAGAGGCCTAGTGTGATAGGCTTCGTGTATACTCTATTTCTGGCTTCATAACGTACGTTACTTACTCTTAACGTACAATACATCGTGCACGGAAAATAAAAATGATTAGGACGGAGTTACTCTAATCTCTCTTCAAGTATTTAAACACGAGGTCTGTAGTACGTGGATTTTGAACGTGATCGTTCTATATGTAGTTAATCCGAAATATTTTGAGGGCCTAATCTTGATCGCAAGTTTGCGGTTTCTTTTTTTTTTTTTTTCAAGCCTTGGGCCGTAAATAAATGCCAGGGCCAGCAGAGCGCGTACCCACGATACTGAACCGGCCGGGATCGCCTGAACTGGAAATGACTCAACAAATTAAATCTGAACATAAAATTGTTTACGAATTGCTTTTCAACAAAATTAACCTGCAAGATCTCCTGTATTTTTTTAATTGTATTATCTTCATCATAAAAAATGAGACGATTATTCTAACTTTTGATCGGACGATTTGAATGCTTATATGAACGAATAGGTCTCTTTAACTCATTTCCTCAGATTGCGTATAATTGATAACAGAGAAGGCGATATCATATCGGGTGTGGGGTTAGCAAATCCCAGGAATTACCGACACCGGCCCTCAAGCCGGTGTTAAATGCGTTAAGAGATTTGTCCATTCATAGATTAAACGTATGAATATTATATTTTAGAGAGAAATACTTGGAGGGCAGACGGGAGCGGCTATGCTATCATTGTTGGGTGATTGATTGTTCGTCTGAACAAGTTAGTCACTAGATCAATGATGAAAACGTTTTCATTTTACTAGTAAGTTAAATGTAGCAAAAGTGCGTTATAATTTCTCTAAAATTATTTGATTAAACTAACTTTAAACTTTTGATTAAACTAACTTTAAACTTTTGATTAAACTAACTTTAAACTTTTGATTAAACTAACTTTAGTGGAACGCTGCTCGGCGTCACCCAACCCATCAAGTCGCAAAACATTCCTAATTACTTCAATAATTATCACTTGCAAATTTATTGCAAAAATAATCAGAAGGCAACTTCAGCTCCGATAAGATAAGTAAAATATCTTTAACGAAAAGGATAAAGATACGAAGTAAAACCACCAGTCTCCGTTTCTTAAACAGGACTATATAAATAAATCATCGAAGAGCTTTGGACCAGCAGGCAGTTTGAACATAATTACCTTATGTAAAGAATTCGGAACGCTCCAGTAATCACTTTATTCACTCAGAGAAATGAGCGAGTAATTGTCCAAATAACTATGCACTTTGTGCCCTTGTGTGGGTCATATTGACCCAGTGCTACGCCCGCGCTTTGCTCCTGCAGCGACTAGCACAAGTGCTCCGCTATTAACTCTCTACCGCCTGACACGAGTAACCGGAGCTGGCGGAGCAATATTGTCACGCGCCTACTTCCCAAAAAGGATACGTTCTAGTGAGCGCAAAATGACTTGCCCTGATGGTTGCCGCCACGTACGACAACTTTAAAATGTTCTCTGTTGCGTACAAACGTCCTCAGGTTGCTACACTCAATAGTTTATGTATAATTTAAGTTAAAAGTTTAACTTTAAAATGTTCTCTGTTGCGTACAAACGTCCTCAGGTTGCTACACTCAATAGTTTATGTATAATTTAAGTTGAAAGTTATGTTCCCGGAGAGTGATACACGGTGGTAGAGGGTCAATGCATAATGATGCATGACGCGCGCGATATTATGCTCAGGATTTCTACTGCTCACGCAGATAAATAAATGATCTTGTTGTCCAAGTAATGACAATTTCTCCACGTCTCATTGATACCTTCTATTGTAGGGCAAAACTGGGTCAGAATGACCCACACAAGCGCCTGAAGTGTAACGCTATTCGTTCAGTCTCATTTCTCGGACAGCATGCGTCAGTAGCGCCTTGTTTACGATGGACAATTTCTATATATTTAATTAAAATAAAGTCTACTTCAATAGAGAACGAAGAATATAAAAATAAAATCTATACGCAAGCCCGGCAAGGCATTCCAGTGAGCCTCTTTGATTCAATCAAACTTTAACGGTACCAAGACACCAGGACGATTGAGAAGTCGCTGTCCTGAACTGATGAAAACACGGAGGAAATACCACCGCAACGCGCGTGCATGAATGTAGTAGATTCAGACGAGTGGATGAATGTAGATTCAAGAGAGCAGATGAATGAGGATTCAGACGAGTGGATGAATGTAGACTAGGCGAGTAGATCAATGTGGATTTATATGATTCGATTAATGATGATTAGACGAGTAGATCGATGTGGATTCAGAACGGGCAAAGGTCACGGAAAATACCAATAACGATTGCCAGCCGCTGCAAGTTACTTAAGTGTGCAGGAATTTCAGATCAGCTGATAGTTCGAGATTTTAAAAAACAAAAATATCCACAATTCCTCGATTGCACAACATGAAATATTCCAAATGGGGGCTTCATTTACCTAATATTGAACAGCGTATACATTAATATAGTAATTTCCAAACTTATAACTCATTTATTAATCCACAAACGCCAAAATTCAACCTTTTCTATACATCAATAAATCTTCACATTCACTCCTGAATCATAACAAGTGTACTACGGAGACAACAAACAATTGTTATGAGCATCTCAAATTTCTCATTATCCAAGCAACCATCTAATTAATTCATACTGCCATACATGACGGTATATCGAATGAATGAAAATCACAACTCAGTACGCGTTGAAAATAAATAATGGCGTTCGTATTAGCAGAAATCTAGCGCGAAACTTTCTAATGTTAAGAAACGACGCTGTTATTGAGATATTGCAAACCCATTTTGAAAAACTGGATATTATTTCTGCTTTAAATAAGGAGATCCCAATATATTATGACAGTTTACATTGATTAAAAAATACTAGCACACATACAAGAGAAAAAAAACCGAAATCGCAATTTGTCAGCAATACAAATCTTGAACATATATATAGGACAGAATCTACGTATCTTCAAACATAACGCAACTTTGGTCGACGTTCCCTCGAATTACACGATGTCAAATGTTAGCACCGTTGATAATAATGCGACACAATTCGCTATAAATGCCGTCATTTGGGATATTACTAAATACGAATAATAATGAAAACTAGACACTGAAAATAGCCAAAATAAATTTAATAGTTAAATAATAGTAAACCAGAGTTTCACATACAAGCTGTATTTACAATGCTTTTATCTGAAAAAGAACAATGATAATTGGTAAAACGATTGAGATTGTTGCTAAGAAACTTATAAAGAATCATCACTACAGAGGATCCTTTTATTTCTGTTAGTCCGAAACTTGAACTTGTGATCGGTAAAGTAATTGCGAACCTCGCCCACACATTCATTTAATTCATACATCAGAATACACGAACCAGCAATCCACCTGCATCATCAGTAGCAAACTTCCACGACAACGACCCTCCAGACAAATGACTTTAAAACAACGTTGATTACGAGTTGATTTCGTAGAAACAACGGATAATCAACATTATTTCAACGTCAGATCCTTGGTGGCAGTAAAGACTATTCTAATAAATAATTTCAACTTCGTCGATCACCTAAACAGAGGAGCTGAATCAGCATCAACAACAACCCATTAAGATAAAGAACAACTTCTAAGCGTCATTTCCATGCTAGACGTATCATGTATATCTTATTAAGTGTTACTGAACCAGCTACACTAGCGACACACTAAGCAACAGACACTTGAACGTATCCTTGTCAACGATGAAGCGGTACACTCAATAAATACTTACATCTATCGTTATTAGTAACTACCTCGGTTAATATCTTCGTGTTCATGCACACAAGTTCTGGATACCACGTCACTTCGTAATAATAATAGCGGTTACAGCGTTTAGTAGGCCGTAGGTCTGTCACCGATTCTTAACAACGCAGAACATTCACAGCATTTTGTGGTCTCGAACTCGCAATTCACTGCTACAATTCTGCTGTGCTTAACCGCCCGGCCTCCTTGCCGATTCTGACTTGCTATGAGTAATCACAAAGATTTTCGTGAAGCGAGAGATATTTATGAAAAGAAAGAAATCTATTAAGACATAAATTATAGCGTAATATTCGATGCAATAACCTGACGCACGTTATAGACAACGGAATGTATAGGTGCTAGCGAACAGCTCTGTACATATAGCAACCTAATTACATGGTCGCATCTGGAAGGTTTAACGCGCATAAAATTGTTTAAAATATGCATACATAAGAGATACAACGTATTCCTACACTCAGGAATGCATACACGTTACAATACTCCGGCTTCCTGTAGCACTCACTCAAATAAAATATTTCAAATTTTAACACAAAACAATAGCAAGTCGATAAACATCAAAATGTTAATTTTCAATCCATACTAGTTGGCGGTCGTCATTATTTGGATAGTTTATTGTGAATAATTTTTTCAGTAACAAGCAATTAAGATGAACAGAATAATAATTTACGTACAAAATTTTTGGTTAATTCGCCATGGATTAAAAACCTGAAGTGAGATTGATGGAGAAATAACGAAATGCGCTCCTAACACCAGTTTCACTACTATGCTATTCCAATATTTATACACATCGTCTATATGAATTGATGGTAGAATTATTAATTACGTAACATAAATCATGGTTAGGTTATCAGAAGAGGAGTGCAGTATCTTGAGACCGCCACTGACCGATTTATTAAGTAATTAGAAAAGATTAAGCAATCCTGCGTCACAAATAACGAGACAAAACTTGGACAAAAACAGATTTTCTGTAATACACGAAACTCGCTACAGAAATGAAATACGTATTCGTCTCAGCAATTAAACTTGCCTCTTTAAAGACCTTCTACAATTAAATGCTTTCCTTAACATCCATTGACATCGAGAGAGCAAGCGTTCGAAGTTTCGTCGCTATTGCTATTAAAACGCCTCAACCACCACAATTAAATAATTATCAATGAAAGGCTTTATTTTACAGCATAAAAGGTCTCAGTATTCCCATGCCAGTACACGCACTAGAAGACCAAATAAAGAGGGTGGAGATGACGACGGCCGACACTTGGTCACTGCACGAGTGCGCGACGATAAATAACTGGAGTACAACTGAAGTAATCAGCAGAGTGCAGCTACAAGAACAAAATAAGACTAGCATGCATCCCATGAACTCCTGCTGACTAGCTTAAACCGTGCGTTTGTGAAGAAATATTCCCGTGCAAGTGCAATTGCAACAGGTGGCTTTGTTTTCTTTTTGCATCGAACGAAATGTCGACCTTATATCCCTAATAAAAGTTACGCTTACACGAGTTTTGTTTAACGCCGCATGAGCAACATTAGCTCTTAACATCAGCGCTTCTTGGATGAGATAATAGAGAGAACCTCCAACACCATAAACTATCTTAATATACGGTCACAGTTCTCAACATGGAATGGAATATTGCCAGTCAGTATCAATCACAAATGGAAAATAGTGTCGCGTGGAACACATAAAAAACGATCAAATTGAACGCAAGTGCAAGATTTACCTCAATCGCCCACCTAGTCATGACATCGACTTCGGTTTGAATAATTTATATTTTGGTACAGCCACCAAAGACAAGTCCAAGCAGCAGCAAAGACAACGTTCACTAACATTTTAATATTTAAAGTTCAAACAACATTAAGGAACAAGATCATGGAAGCAGACGCCTATAGTCAACTCGAGAGCCGTACTGAGTGCAGACTTCGAATGTTTTTTATTTTTAGGGCGCAGACTAAAGACAATCTCAGAGGCAGGGTAGCAACATACATACATAGAGGGCAGACTGAGGGCATTTAGATGAGAATTTCATGTATAATATCAAGCATGGCCGTTCACAGCTACCCTAGGTGATCAAGGACTGACACCCGATCATGTGCACATTCCTGTACAGTAATGACCTGTACAGGTCAAAATAGCTCCTGGCATGCAAGTTTTGGTGTCGATTTCAGCCACCGCTGAACTCGCAACGGCGAGAAGAACTAAACTTGGAGATCACATCTTGCAGTCAACTTGAGGGTGAAGATCTGTCCTTCCCCATGCGCCTACTTGAAGATCTGCTGCTGCGCGGGGTCCGCCTCAAACTCCGAGTAGGCGTCGTTGAGCTCCATGAAGATGAGCTTAGCGAGCGCCTCGTGCTCAGACCCAGCAAGCTGTCGGTACAAGGAACAGTGATTTATACGCACGTCATTATCATGTACATTATCAACGCTTCATCATCAAGTATAATAATTAACAGTGTGAACGAGGAAAATCGTTCACTAAATTATTCAATGTGCATTTTCTTGTGACGAAGTTATTCTATTACGTCGGGCGAAGCCGCGCCAGTGACATGCGAGTCAGGCCTATAGCAGTTGGAACTGTCTAATACCAGGTCAGGTCTGAGCGTCTGTGCGTCAAGTAGGCAGTCGTGTCCCGCCAGCCCTATAGTGAGGTTCATACCTGAACCCGCTCAGCTCTGTTAACTCTCAGCATTCTTTGCTTAACGCTGGAGTTGTGGCTGTGCTGTGAGGATTTAGTCTTGCCTGCTATCGTTCGCCTATGTGAATTAATGTAACCTGAACTACGTGCATTAATGCTGTGCAATAGTAAATGGAATTGAACCAATTTGAACGTTTCTTAGAATAGTTATTTTAGTCGGAATTTATGCTTGCCCTTTACCATGTTTTACTGATTTTAAACAAAGTGATTGAATAAACTATTTTAAGTGTGCTTTGTCGTGATTATATACCATAGCCACTGAACCGGCTTTAACTGACAATGACTAGGAGAGTTGAACGGCATTGTAGGTCAGATGAATGAGCACAGTAGCCTGGAATTTATTCATATATTGTCCTGGCCTAGGAGCGGTGAGCAACTGAGCATTCGATCTTGATAGTGAATTACAGGCCTAACGTTTAGATTGGCTTGTAGTAGCTCTGGCCGGTGACAACAGTAATTTATACGCACGTCATTATCATGCACATTATCAACGCTTCATCATCAGGTACGAGGCAATAATAATAATTCATCATTCGTCTCGCTTGATCATCGAAGAAAAAAAATTATTCATCAACGAATTAGAGTCAAACTATCGCTACGCCGATGCAGAAATGAGAGTATTATTAATGTATATTTTGCAGAAATGTATCCTTTTATTTGAAATTATTTTTGTCTACTTATTGGTAATGATATGTCAACTTGGCAACAGGTTATCATCTTGAGATGTACAGCCATTTAAACAGACAATGCATGAACAAAACATTCCATGTTACCTTCACCGGAATACACAGATTTTGACATACACAATGCCAATAAAAAAGCTAAGGCGTCATGAATATGAATATATACCATGGCTTAACAAAAATGCGCCAGGCTAGCTCATCGGAATGCACATCAGTTGAACAGACAAAGTCAACATTAAATATGCCAGGTTAACATATCAAGACCTAGGAAAGGAAACTCCTAATGCCTAAACGCAACATGGAGGACATGTTACTTTATCAGGATGCACGGCGAGGCAGGCTCTCCTGTACATCTTCTTGACGTCGCCGTGATGCACGAGCTGATGCATGCCACACTCTTGCCACTTGGCGCCCTCCCACAGCACAGACGACAGCGAGCACAGCAGCGCCCTGATGTTGTGTTCCCTTCCTGCCGTCCATTCCACCATCTGACGGAGGCAGAGAACAGTTATTACCAAATAAATATCCAGGTTATCTTCAAGAAACCAGTATGACACGAGACTAATTAAATAATCAACGAGAATTTCAACTCAGCACATCACGTTTAAGCAAAGTATAAGTATCAGGAATTTCGTTAAATTTAATACATACATGCACTGACAGATAGCCGTAAATAGATATATGGTTACTCTGCATTTATAGGCACGGAAATCATTCTATTTTACTTACCAAAAACTTTCTGCCGTTAGATAATCCGGGTAATAAAAGGAAAATATGTCCCAAGTTTTAATCAATGCTCATAGCGAATACAGGACTGCGACACATAAAAATAATATGCCACTAGATTCTTCCTTGTCAAGTCCGGTAACAACTTTATCCCCTTAGGTCCTTGGCTTGCAAATAAATAATAATACAAACTAAATTTATGATATGTTACATACGCAATCTTTGAATGAGTTTGTATCCTTGTAACCTAACTGCAGCGGTTAGGATACAAGCTTTTACCCTCAGCGGGTTATTAAACCACATTTTAGGATTTGCCTTCCTGCGGTCAGGGTCATGGTTTTACCCTAAGCGGGTTATTAAACCCCTTATTAGGACCTGATCTAGGGACCAGACTTGCCTTCCTGCGGTCAGGGTCCATGGTTTTGACCATCTCTTCCTGCTTCATCTGAGCCATAGTCTTGGGCGCGGAGCTTTCCTTGGAAGACGTGAAAGTGAATCCCTGGGAACCCAGCAGGTCTTCGAACGTCGAGGTCGCCGATTTTGCGGTGTTGTTGCCACCAGCCAAATTGTCAAAATTAGTCCGCCCGTAGTTTGGTTGTGTCGCGGCACCAAAACTTGGTTTAGGTTGAGTCGGTGCACCAAAACTTGGTTGGGTTGGAGCAGCAAAACTTGGTTGTGTTGCAGCACCGAAACTTGGTTGGGTTGGAGCAGCAAAACTTGGTTGGGTTGGAGCACCAAAAGTTGGTTGTGTTGGAGCACCGAAGTTTGGCTGTGCAGACGGCGGCGGCGCGTGTCTGGGAGTGTAAGGTTGTGACGAGAGAGGAACGTTAGGCTGCCAAGCTGCCCCAGCAGGAGGGGCAGGTCTGGGTGGACGGGCAGGTGACCCCATCATGGGGGAGTGGGAGACGCTCCCTGTGGGGGTGTTCTTCTCAGAGAGCCAACTGCCCGCCATGAGGTCAGCAAACGGGTCGCTTGGCTTCACGGGGCCTTGGCCTGTTGGAAGAGGCGGACCTGCAGGAGGCGGTGATGGGGGAGGCTGGCAGGGCATGACGCCATCTAGCGCCCCGTTAATCCCGGCACACGGCGAGCTGCTGAACTGCAGGCACGAGGGAGATTAGGGTGAGGGAAATTAGGGTGAGGGAAATTAGGGTGAGGGAAATTAGGGTGAGGGAGATTAGGGTGAGGGAGATTAGGGTGAGGGAGATTAGGGTGAGGGAGATTAGGATGAGGGAGATTAGAGTGAGGGAGATTAGGGTGAGGGAGATTGGGAAAAGATAAAATGGGACGAGAGAAAATAGGGCGAGGGGAAATAGTGCGAGGGAGGTGGGGGCGAGGGAAGCTAGGACGAGAAGGAGAGGAGGCAGGCGAGATTCTGGGGGAGTAGAAAGTCTCATACCATACAAAACATTTGAAATAAAATAACATTCAACATCATTAGATATGTCGAGGATACAAAATGCTCTAAACTAGCATGTAATTTATTGCGGCAGTATTACGAATGATTAATTAGACCAGCGGCTGTAAAATGTTATAATTATAATGATGCATGCGGTAAACTGCACGGTCACTGCGCCTAGGAGGTCCACGTGTACCAGGTCCACATCAGGCTGTGCTGAGGGAGGCGCGGGGTCGCTGGCTGAGAGGAACTCGGAGAAGATGTCCCCTTGGGGAGCAGGGCTTGGGGGCCTGTGGTTGTGGTCCGTCAAGTTCGTGTGGTCCGTGAAATTTGTGTGGTCCGTGAACGCGTCGAAAAGAGCGTCAGTACCTGTAAACAAAAAAAGATGCGAGACCACATGGAAAGAACAATAAGACATTTTTTAATCATTCAATTGTGTCACCAGGATGAATGTGTTTAATGCATTAAATTACAAATCAAATCAAGTTTAACTATTCAACTAAAGTCGTGTGCGCATAAAAAGAACTTTGCAAAAGTTATAAACGAAAAAAGTTGTTCAATGAACCCTGGGAGCATTAGGTGCATGACAAATCCTACAACATCTAGTAAACATGGGCTACAGTTTGATAAATAATTCGAGAAACTATAACCAAGGCTCAAGAAGCTACTGATCAACGCTCAAAAGTGACTAGTAAATTCTGCAATTCCTTAAATTTTGGCTAATAATAAGCATCAGAAACAGCATAAAACGAAACAATGGTGCGACTGCCACCATCAATGAAATATTGCCACGATGATGTAGGCAAACGGAAAGAAGGGAAATAACATTGAATGCGCACTGTCATGGGCATAAGGATGCATTAAATGCGATGGAAACTTATGCTATACCGTACAGTATTCATAAGCAAAACAAAAAATCACACACAAATTGGGCTATACAAATTAACATAAAGAAAAACAGTCAGGGAAGTCATTGAATCACAGAATAACAGGTCACGGGAGGCAATAACACGAGCTTCGGCAGGTTATTTATGGTTGATTTGATCACTTATCATTGAGATTTGATTACCTTTTCATTTAATCCAATACCTGCTCTTACTTTTCCTAAATCGTTTCCATTGTGTGATGGTAATCATCGTTATTCATGGACACTTCATTTCCATCTTTAGCTCAGCTTTTCGCCTGGTTCGTCCATTTTACTGCGTGCTTTTCCGACCGCTAAGAGACAAAATTTAAAAACAATTTTCGAGAATTTTTCACTGAATCTTAAATTTCAGAATTGTGTGCGCCAGAATAATTTTTTATCACTTAATACAGATTTCCCTCGAGTCTCCACAAGCCCGCCAGTTACCCTGAGTGGACGGTCTCCACAAGCCCGCCAGTTACCCTGAGTGGACGGTCTCCACAAGCCCGCTAGTTACCCTGAGTGGACGGTCTCCACAAGCCCGCCAGTTACCCTGAGTGTACGGTCTCCACAAGCCCGCCAGTTACCCTGAGTGGGCGCGGGCTCGCCCATGCCGCTGAGGAGGTCGTAGTTGCTGAGGTTCTTCTTGACGCCGCCCGCGATGTCCAGGAGCTGTAGCTCGTCCTCGACACCCGCAGGCGCCACCTGTTGGGCATCGTTGCGTTAAATGAGGCTCAAATACCAGGGTAAAAATTAACATATTATAAAAATAAGGCTCAAGTCGAAGAAAAAAAGTTAAAATGTCATAGAAATGAGTATCAAATATCAGAAACTTCTAGAAAAAAAACACCTCGAGGGAATTTTACCCTGGAAATGAAAATCAAGTAAAAAAATTCTATAAATAAAAACACCACGATGGAATTTTACCCTGGAAATGAAAATCAAGTATAAAAAAATTCTATAAAAATACCACCACGGTGGAATTCTACAAACAAATGGTAAATACATGCATCAAAACTTCAAGCCAACTGGCAGTGGCACACCTCATGTGGCTCGTGAGAGCTGCTGCTCAGGTTCAAAAAGTCAACGTCTTCAACAAGATGTGGTGGCGGTGGCGGGGCGGGAGATGGCGGTCTGATGTCGTTGGAGGCGTGGGCGGCGGGAGGCGGTGGTCGGGACGGCGGGGCGGCAACAAACGCGCCACGAGGCGGCAGAGGAGGCGAGTCCGTCTGTCCGGAAGTCGGAATTACACCGCGCGATGAAGCAGAAACTTTTGCATTTTTCAACCTCATTCATATCTCCATTAAAGACAGGAAATCCGTAGCAACACAATCTGGTCAAGCTGTTGAGTTTGCGTTAATGATTTAATAATAAATTCTAATGAAGAATACGAACATTTATAAAGTACGTAAATTAAGTGCAACTTTCGAGTACTGACAGACGGTCCAGGTGGCCTGGGTGGTGGGGGTCGCTTGCCGGGACCCGGAGATCCTGAGGGCCCAGAAGACTCCAAGGGACCAGACGACCCCAAGGACCCATGGGACCCCGAGACCCCAGAAGACCCCGAGGCCTCTTGAGACCCCAAGGGCCCAGGTGGTCTTGGGGGCGGCGCATGGGAGAACTTCTCGGTGGTTTCTTCGCGCTCGATGGCGGAGGAGAAGAGGAGGGTGGGGCTGAAGGGCGTCGACCCCGCGACGTGGGCGTCCCACGGGGCTGGGGACGTTGAAGGGGACGGGGCACCCACGCTAACTTTGAGTGTGAGGTGGAAGTTGTCCGGGAAGCGGTCCACCTCCGTCACCTCGTCCAGGTCTTGGCTGCAGGCAAACTCGGATTGAGTAATTGAGAAACTTGAGTAATTGAGTAATTGATTGAAACTTGAGTAATTGATTAACTTAATTATTAATTAATTACCTTAAGTGATTAATTAACTTGATTATTAATTAATTAATAATAATAATTAATTAAGCGCCATTATTAATTAATTAATAATGGCGCTTACTCGGGCAACTATTTACGGTTCAATTATTATTATATTATTATTTATGTACAATTCTCAAAGCAAGCAATTATTTTCAATTAGTTATCACACACTTTTCATCAAATATTAGTAATAATGGTCAATGGATGCCAAATAATGGATAAATAACACAAGGCAAGTCAAGAGGGAAATCTGGGTGAGCACAAGGCGGAGATAATTGATCAAATATCAATACTAATATTAATTAATCAATAACAAATGAACGACAAGAGACGTATAAACGAGGTCGAGGCGGGCATATTAGAAGAAATATCAATATAAATAATCAGAAAATAAGTAATACATATAATTATTAATAAGACAAGGCACGTACAGAGGGAAGTCGAGGCACGTGTCGCCCCTGCCGAGGTAGCCCGTGTGCAGCGCCAGCTGCGCCACCTTCAGGCACGTGAGCTTGCCCATGATGCGCCGTGCGTGGTACACGATCACGCACACGTCGCCACGCACATGTACGTTGAGGGGGACCAGCACCTGCAGGGAGAAGTGGTACACACGATCACGCACATGTACGTTGGTCTCTTATACACATCTAGATGTGTATAAGAGACAGAGATTAGGGTGAGGGAAATTAGAGTGAGGGAGATTAGGGTGAGGGAGATTAGGGTGAGGGAGATTAGGGTGAGGGAGATTAGG